GCATGGCCGAGTGAGCTCGGGGGTTATCGGCAATTGTTTGTAAATCTTGCCTCGCGAAGGTTCGACGTATCGGCACTTTTAATGACTGTCAGATCAATATTTAGGACAGAATATACATTAATTTGTGAGATGATGTCTTGGAACATGTATGACACGATAAACTTTCTTTATACACAAAATATACCCGAGCACAGGTGGACAGGAAATAATATAATCTGGTCCAAACGGCCTATCACGCACGCAGAATACACTACTATATAGAATATACTACTGCATCGCACGTGTTTTACCTAATTGCCGAGACTGCCTGTATATTCAGTGCAATTTGAGGTGGTCATAAATCCTACAGGTCCCTCCCCGTACCTATACATGGCCCTGAAGGACTGGCCGTGTGCGCGCTCACAATGTATATTTCCAAATACAATATACAATTCCAAATATATTTTTTTTTTCATTATTCACACCATACCCCATAGATGCGGTAAAGTAAATATAAAATTGGATTTGCTTGTGGGTTTGTACCCCCCCCAACCCCCTCCCCACCAGAGATTGATTTATTTATACTTTATTAGGTCATTTATGCTAAAGCGATGTAAACCATTATATATGCCTATCAAAGACTTCGCAGAAACCGTGCTTGTATAAATTTCGTTGGCTTCCTTTGGATATGGCTGACACAGCCTACCCACATGTGTGATTCGAGTTGCTAAGCGAAATCAGTATACACGTCCCTGATATGCTGCCGATTGGTGCGAGTAGTGATTCAACTTGGATTGGAATTGACACTTATTGAGGTTAACTAATCTGCATAAGCACCGGTTACGTGTTCTTTCATAATGGGATTATCAGAGGATAGTAATTGACACAACTGTTCCCAAGACTTATTTATTCATAAAACTATACAATGACAAAAAAATCATGATAATATACATGTGTGTCTGTCTCAACAGTACAAGTCATCTTCTGGAATCCTGCCAGTTTTCGGTTTTTGATCAAGCGTGTGCCTGTTGGAGACTTAAAAGGGATTAACTTTGGACCACTGTCGTGGTGAATTTACTGCACTAAATCTATCGTGAAAGAACGGGGTAGCGTTCTGCAGAGATCCATCATTCATCGCTGACGTGATGACGCCAGGTCTTTGGGACCCTACCCACACATTGTCCATCTGGTAGCAGCAGTTGATGGCTGAGGTGTCGAATTGGTTGCCTGGTTCTTGGTGAATCTTCATCATGTTCAACGGCAAGGCGATTGGTGGTTATACCCGGAAAGCATGATATCTGCAGAATAAAAAAGACATGTCGATTTCATCCAATTGATGAATACCTGTTTTTCAGTTATTTCGAATACATCGAATGCTGTGTGTATAGCTGTTTGTAGACCATTTATGAAAATTTATGATATCTTTGAACGGTTGCATGTTCCACAAGTGTGGGTTTCATCTTTACTTCGCAAGCCTCAGAACTGTCGAGTAACCATTAGGGTAAGTCGAGTTGTTTCGGCATATGTTAAATTCCCAAATCCCGTCGAATCAATGACATCAACTATTATCAGTAGTATATTTGTTGTAGCATAACACGTCATCCGTCTAACGTTTGTGGTTACACGCATGCGCTTTTAAAATAAAGTTTGGTAGCGGAATAGAAATTGAACTAGTACGCTGCTACAGTTCCTTACTTACCCATAAATTGTGGAAAATACCACTACAGGACACACCGACGCGTGTGTAGTGACTGGAAAAACTTCGGATCCCCATCCAGTAGGTCCACGGAAAGAATGCACATATTGAACTAAGGACGAAAACCTTTTCGTCAGCTGATCCATAACTTTAGTCTAGTGTGGATGAATAAACGGTTATGCTCACGCTTGACAAATCTAAATATGACGAATGAATTAACAATTGTTGAACAGTTGCATTAGTTTACATGACATCAACCACTACGTCGTGCATGGATATTTGTTCATAAAATAGCAATTGCTAAACGGTAACAACATATATTCAATATGAAACAGCACGGACCTACATGTGATGCAGGTGATTAAAACCGCTTAGTTGTGGGCATAGTCTGACCACCGACTGGCTCACACTGGCTAATCCCCTTCTGATCGATCAATATACAACTGTATCGTGTTAAAATATGCACTCGTCTATATTTATATTATTTCAGACATTGTCATGTTACTGATAATACGGAATTAAATACGAAATGCTATACATTATCATTGCCTGTTTTCAATTGTGTTCATACAAGAACATAATTCAATTTCGTCTGCTGTCATTACACCACCAGTTAAAAAATTATATGGGAGGGGGCATCAATTGGTGCGGGAATCGTATATAGGTAACTTTCGGGTCTCTCGAGGGGATACGTATAAATAGTAATCCTCCAGACTTTTACAAACGAAATATATTTTATACTGTTAGCACCTTCTTTGTTTTTAACGAGCCTACTATCAAAGTTCTTGCAGCAAATACTGTGCTATAGTTAATCACTGTCACTGTCCTTGTGCAATTGAGGCTGTAATTTGAGAACACGGTACCAGCACCAATTGCCTTCAGTTGTATATTGTCGTTTAACAACGCGCATTTTGATAGGCTGACTGTTGACACTCGAGCAGCCAAGCTCAGGTATTAACCGTTCGTTATCGTAAACATTGTCGTTGACAATACACACGGGTTCTCTCTATACCCGTTATTTCGTTATAAGCGCTTTCATCATTGTAGTATTCTATTCTATTCTCATCACTTTATTATGAGGACAACAAAACGCGGGTCAGTCGTCTCGCCGGCTCCTCTTCAATTAGATCGCGTAATCACAAGATGCAAATTAGCATAACACCGGAAATCCTGTTATTACACGATTGAATATTCCATTTAATACTTTTCAGATATACGAATCGTGCATCAATGAACGGATTTATTTCCAGAAACACCGCTGACGAACAGGTAGATGTGAGCTGATTGCTATTTCCGGCCTATAATTTACGAGAAAATACATGCGGTATTTTTAATATCTGCATATAAAACAATGCCAAGCAGAACAGAAAATATAGGATACTGCGCATAATATGATAATGATCGTGTATACACTAATCGACAACAAAAACACGTCAATGTGGCTGCTGCTCAGATAGGTGTCGTTTGGCGCAGCAAGAATAGAGCGAACCGCAATCAGGTGGATTTATCATGATGACTAAGCGTTTCTCCACTGCCACAAAAGGCTAAATTGTATATCACGTGATCGGACATTTTGATAGTTTTTCTTGTTATATCGCCGAGGAACAATTATCGCTAACCGTTATAGCGCGCACGTGGTTGCATCTCATTTTAGTTTTGAGAGTCTTAGTTTTCATAACAGGGGAGAAATATTTATCCGAAAACAATGATCAAAAGGACTCTTGTGCGGAAATATTTTTTCAAAACCCGCAATATTCACCTTGCTCAATATCTTCAATATCCTATCTTCCTCAAAATACAATTCTGAAATCTATTTGAGGTACACATAGGGATAAGCAAGATCGAATTTGGGGAATATTGTCAGTTTGCAAAGAACAAATTGATAATAGCATTTCTTATTAATTTTGGTGAATTAAAATAATATTGAGCGCGAAAACTGAAATATCCCCAAAATGTCATTTGTAAACTGGAACTGTGGGCGTGATCACGTGCTGTAAGGCGATTGCGAGAGCTGGTACAATAAGTCACCGGTAAAGTTTCCACTGTTCCCTATCGTAGCACAGACAGACATTGTAACGCTATAACCGAAATCAACTGAATCTTATTCAAGAAAGCGCATATGCTCACAGTTTCACAAAAATTAAAGTTATTGGTACATTCAACTTTGTAGCCTGCAGCCTCGGGTTTCGCGGTACTTGTCATAAACGGAACAAATGGCACTCACTAACATTTATGATTATTCACTCCTGTTATGCCAAAAGTATGTATTTATGATTTGGCTACTAGTGAAGAAAGTACTGCTAAGTATGAAATTTTGGCCCTAATTATCTCCTAATATATCCTGACCACAGCGCGGGAAAATGTGCGGGCTACGTAACTTCCGTTACCTTATTAGTCGCCATGAATATGTAGATGAGCTAGTTCAGCTCGAGAGAGAAAGTTTATTTGGGAAACTGCCGGTCATATCGCTGTCCATTGACAGATGGGGGTAAGGCAATAATAAAAAAATAAAAGATACCAGAAGTAAGTATCAATGCGATAATGACCCCTAACTTGCAGCAGACGGAACATTCCGAGGAAATTGAAATTGTTTACGGAGCGAGCACTTCCTGGTTACTGATTGTCATAACAGACACCCGCTAAAAGGCGTGTCCCGCGTGAGCGACCGGAAATCACAAATGCCGCGATACGATGAATGCCGCGGTACCACGAGGTCAGAGTATACACGGAATATGCCAGAAATAACATGAAAAATGGCGATAATTGGTCGCTAGCTTCGACGTGTACACTTTCAAGTGTATCCAGTCCAGAATGACATGTTGACATGTTTTAACTGTTCGAAAATAGGGTATGTGAAAATAGGAAGGCGGATGCCCCGATGCACACGCGACCCGCCAGTCACGACCTTGGGTGGATTGTTGTGGTCCCTCTCGGCAGTGGGTGATTTTACATAGCGCTTTAATTACTTTCGCGGAGGTCGCGGGTGACAGCACAGCCACGGTGATTGAATTAATTAGTATCAAGCGCTTCACTGAGTACTGCGGACCGCACCGTCTCGCGTACAAGAGACGGCAGAGCCGTCACGCGTACACGTTACGTCTGTGACTGTTCAAAAGCTATTTGAACATCCTGAAAATTGTGTACTTTTGCCACAATGGCCTATTGACATGACAATATCATGACAATTTGTTGACTGTCACCTGACTTCCTTGTATATGCTGACTGGTCGGCTATTCAAATGTGGACACAATGAGTCGACATGATCGGTGTACTAAGGGATACCCACCATATATCTATTCTATCTAAAAACAGTTGCAATACCCACCATTCTGGAGGTAGTCGAGATGACCTTGTCGAAGCAATCCCCAGTTCAGGGTCAACAGAGGCAGAACCCATGAGTGCCATGCGGTCATCTGCTGTCTGAAAATACCAACCAGACATTCCAGTTATATCACAGCGTGTCAGCTTAATGTGGGAGGAAAGCCCGAAGTGATGCAGGTCTCAGACGTTTACCACTTCGGTGAAACCCACGAGCACGGGTATGGTGCTGACAAACCTAGAAACATAATTGGGGCGAACCGGGATTCGAACCCACAATCATAGGTTTCTGGCGTGCCTAAGGGATGCAACTCTGCACAGCGAATCGCGGCGCCTTAGACGACTGGGCCACCCGTGCCCCCCCAGACCTGTGAAGACCACCAGACTTGCAGGTTGTGGAAAGTGCTGTACAAGTCAATGTTTGACCAATGATTTTCCTTGAGACTAACTGCAGTAGGACATACTTAAAAATTTATCAACTCTTGATACGACATTCTTCTAAATCATTGCCAAATTTGAAAAATAGAGTGGTTAAGGCATTTTTGATAGAAGACCTTTCATCATTTGTGGTGACATATATATGTAACAAGGACTAAATGCAGTTTGGAACATCGCGCACATGACCAATCCAAATGACGGCAGGTTCTGAGTTCAAGCACACTTTAGACATGCTCTCTGATTGGTTGATCAGAGTACGATGTTGCCAGCAGCACATCATATTGTAAGAAGTCACGGCTGCACAATGGGTATACTTTCATAACGTACTAGAAATAGATACATTCATTATTTGTGTTGAGAAATCAAGAGATTCTTCAAAATGAAAATCATGGAAAGTAAAAGAACCAATTTTGTGACATAAAAACACCATTTTTGGTCAATAATCTGGACAAGTAGTATTGTTCACAATCATTCACTTGATTCACTGTTTCAGAGACAATTCCATAAATAGCCTCTGCTTGTTTCAGTGAAACTTGAAAAAAAATATGGATTTATCTCTGATTACATTTGATAACTTTTGGAAAGAGGTGAGATAGTTAATCAAAACTCACAACTAACTCCTAAGATTGCACTGGGTATTTTTATCGGGTAGAAACTAACATTTTTAGTCCACTGGTCCTTATAATGATTACATATAGCAAAACCCTTAAAAATGGCAAATTTCTACAAGTCCTTATGATACCTTAACTATTGGGCAGATTGGCAAGGACTACAGGACTAGTGCCAATTTCTAAGGCTGAAGGGTAATTAACCCTATGGATTGTAATGGGATGCTTGATCTTCAAGTCAGTATTCAGGGTAACCTTAACTAGACTCATATACTCTCCAAAATAAAGTCCTGCATAAGGTTAAATAGAAACAACCGTATAAAGGAACCCTCAAGTACTAAGAAACTCTCAAGTCTCAGTTTCTTTCCTCGACTTAAAAAGGAGATTAAAATAGTAGGGCTGGGACAGGTAACTGGGGTCAGGTGGGTACTGTGTAGGACCAGTGTGTACCCATAGGATTACCTGGACTTGTGGTAGGTCACGTGATATATATTGTTTAATGAAAAAAAAATATCTAGAACTCTATGTTTAGACTATAAGTCACTTGTGTTCGCATTTCTTTCTGACTATGCACACATTTTATTTCTTACTTTTATACGTTTGAATAAAGATAAAACTTCAGTCAACGTTAGTGTATGCATGACTTGATGGTTTTATAAGTGTATCTAAATACATATTTTCCAGGGCTATGGTCAAACTATTCCCAATTAGACATTTTGTACATATCTCTTGAAACCTACAGTGGGTACCCGGGAAGGGTCGGGTACCCAGATAGTAAACTTGGACTCGTCCCAGCCCTAAAAAAATAGGCTGCTAGCGCTGAGAAGGGATAGGAACGGGATTCATGTTTCACAAAAACATGCTCTGGGGTCTCTGCGTGCTGTCACTGAATCCCTGCAAAGAGCTCGTGATACAGCCACTTTGAAGATATATTGTCAAACAACTCACTGTCGCAGTTGTAGTAGCAAAACAATATGTAAAGCGCACCGAAAGGCTTGCATAAGGGCAGTCTGTTCTGATTTCAGAATAACCGCGTTTGTTAACAAACAAACAAAACGTCTGGTCACGTGATATGCAAATTACCCTCTGGCAGTGGTGTTACACTAAGTCACCACTGCGCCGGAGTGTGACCAAATATCATGAATATGTTTCAGTTTAGCTAGTATCATAATGGACATGTTACTGTTTCCTCAACACATCATGTTTCAATTATCCATGTATTGTATCGTGTATCCCATCCCCAACTAAATAAGGGTTATAGCTATTAGGCACCTCAGCAAAACGTCACCCGGTGAAAACAGCACCGATTGGCAAAAATGGCACCTCGTCTCAAGTGAAAACAGCTACTTTTGCCTAGCGAAAACGGCACCATATAATTGTGAAACGTTACATTAGAAATTAGCCTCTATTTCAACTAGATCTATATTCCAACTAAGCCTGTACATAACTCAACTTATTGTGAAAACATAGTATGCTTTAAAGTAAAATAAATGAAATCATACTCACATCGCCACTTACAAACACAAATAATTGTGAAATGTTAAAATAAGTTTACTCCAATTTACTCACCGACTCTGATTGGGAGGCACAACAAACTTATTGTGAAAACGTTATATGCTTTGAACAAATGTTGAAGTTTTAAGTACCTATTCAATTTAACTCAATGTCAACATGGTCAAGCTGAAACTGTATCACAATTATTCACAATGGCCTTTTGATGTGTTGCATGCGATAAGAATGTTAGAAAAAATCAACATGCTGTATCATGTGACATAAATTGTTCTTATCGTTATTAAAAATAGATATGCCGTTTTCGCTAGAGAAATCTGTGACGTTTTAGCCTGCCCCAACTAAATAACACAACTATGTGTATCGTTGAAGCTCCAGCAAAGTACTTACCGTATTCGACATAATAAGCTCCCCGCTCTAATAAGCGCCCACTCTAATAATTTGCTAATATATTGGCTAGTGAACAATCCCAATTAGCACCCCTTCGGATTGATCAATGTACACAAGACTTATTTATTCGCGTATAATACGCACTCATGTGTTGTATGCACCCTAAATTATGGGCAATTAAATTCTGGAAAAAGATATGACGTATATAAACATTTCAGGCTGTCAGCATAAACCACGAAATTTATCCTTTAACTCTGTTTTTTTTCACCAAAATAATATTACAAAATATTGTAATAAGAGCCCCCTAATTCTAATTTTGAGAGCGCCCTTGGCGCTTATTACGTCGAATACGGTATTTCCTTTCACCTGTTATTGTTATTGTTATGTTAATTTGTGTTTAGTCTATATATTTGGGGAGGAAATACATGTGCCAGATATCTGGCAGTACATGACAAGAAAGCATGCACATATTAAGATCTGACATTTTGTTTTTCCTGTTTCTCCCATATGTATTATACGCTGTAGCAGCTATGAAGCTGAGCGGTCTGCTTACATCGTATGATAATTAGGCCTAAGTCAGTGTCACAACTCACTTGTTCTGAAAAGATGTGGCGACTTTGCAAGGCATTATTTCTCATTAGAATGAACACTTCAGTGAGACTTCTTGTCGCCATTATGGCAGAAGGCCCGGGAATCGGGTGATCTTCACTAATCAAAACGACCAGATGACTCAAAACGATAAACGTGTTGTCGGTTCCATTATGTCATTTCTTATGATAGAAGGGGCCTGAAGATTCCGTTCCTTTTCCGGTGTGGTCGCTTACACCGTTATCTAAGCTCCCTGCAGCGAACTCAAAGGTAGCACGCGCTGCTTTGGAGTTTGGAGCTAAGCCATGCTTTTTCGGATGTTTAAAATGTGTTATTTCTTAATATCAGTAATAAATGAACTAACAACCTCACAAAAATGTTCTAATTATAAATTGTGTAACCAAATAATTCTCAAATAATTCAGTGTATACGGGTTTTGAATCGTTTGAAGTCATCGACTTTCGTCTTTGTATGTATGTGTGTTCGACCGTGGCTAATACGTCTCTGTTATCAAATACAAAATTCCAACCACGTCAAAATAGTACGTATTGGCAAATGTATCCCCGTTGTTTTGTCAAAGAGTATATGTTTCTGCAGTGAAATGGACTATTGGAATTTGGGAATGGGAATTTTCCCCAAGGAACAGTTTTTTACCGATACATTGACAGTGGCAATATTTGTTCCGGGCGGAGCTAATTCCATGTGGAACTGATCACTGTTGACACCTACGCCAAGACGTTATCATGAAACAAATTTTAATTTAAACCATACTGTTGTAGTCACGATGATGTATATACATAAGCATAGGTTCGGAGGTCTGAGGAAATAAGTTTAATTACATGTGTGTGTGTGTGTGTGTGTGTGTGTGTGTGCGAGTGCGTGCGTACGTGCGCGCGCGCGCGTATATACGTGTCAAAAGTCGTTATATCGAAGAACTCATGGAAGCACGCACATAAATCTACGATCTGTCCGCCGTATAACGTACAGAGGTTCTCACCTATAAAATGGGGCGGTCGGGTAGCCTAGTGGTTAAAGCGTTCGCTCGTCACGCCGAAGACCCGGGTTCGAATCCCGACATGGGTACAATGTGTGAAGCCCATTTCTGGTGTCCCCCGCCGTGATATTGCTGGAATATTGCTAAAAGCGGCGTAAAACCAAACTCACTCACTCACTCTCACCTATAATAACCGTGCTTGCTTTCGTGCTTTGCTTACAGTTTATATTGATCAGTATGACGAAATATGTACATGCCATTTCGTAAATTCTAAATACCTCTGTCCACATTCCATCAGCCTACTCTGAACCCATTAAGCAATAACGCCCCCATTATGTATACTTAATCCTCTTTCATTGGCTTCCTGTCTTATTGGCTTCTCTACCATGTGTTCTCTATCCATCAAGTTGCTGCAGTGTTATCCTTCTAGTCATTGAGAGGCATTTAGAAGTGATCACAGAAGGAAGAGAATTCATGGATGTCAACTTCTTTATTATGAGGAATACAACATTTCGGAGTATATACTTACTCCTTCACCTGATGAAGGTGAAGGAGTAAGTGTAAACTCCGCGTTGTGTGTATGCTTACTCCTTCATCAGGTGAAGGAGTAAGTATATACTCCGCGTTGTGTGTATGCTTACTCCTTCTGTTTTCATTACTTAACCTACTCATGTTAATCTCTCTCATCTATGCAATTGTTGTTACTGTTAATCCCCCGCCTACTATATATATTCTGTACCATGTTCATTATTCAGCCTTGCTTGACAACGGTTTTAGGACTTCGCCTTTACAGTAATTAAAGAAGTTACTATCCATACATTGTGTGTACTTTGTCATCCGTCAACTTCTAAATAATGCCGATCAAACAATTCACTGTGGTCCTGTGAAGATCCGAGTTAACCCATGCTTGTCGTAATGGTTGATGCATGCCATGGTATCCCAATTGCCTAGATCGATGCCCATAATGTCAAGCACTGCATTGTCTGGTTCAAATATTATTGATAGACCGCTGTCATATAGCCGGAATATTGCTGAGTGCGGCCTTAAACAACAAACAAACAAACAAATAGTGCGACTGTATCACTGAGCAGACTGAGATTAGTTCCGGTATACAGTGTTATTTCACTGGAGGGAAACATAACCTATATCTATCATCAGTTAATTATGAACGAAATAAACGTCGCCTAGGAGTTGTTTACTGTACCAAAAAACAGTGCAGAATGATTAAACCACGAGGGGTGCGCCCCCGTGTAGTTTATTGTCCCAGCAGTGTTTTATTGTACGGTAAACAACGACCACGAGTCGTTTATTTTTTATATGAGATATCAACATCATGTACAGCATGTTTAAGTATGTAAATATAATGTACGAGCTTTAAAATATTTAGCCGTAATCCGAATGTACTCAATGTACGTTTTGAAAACCAAATGTAGTACATTGTTGGCAGTATAATTTTCTGAGAGAGATTTTGATAGTCTGGACCCCTCCCTTTTAAAAATGGTGGATCCGCCCCGGTAACACAATAATACTATCGTATACTGCCATTGGAATTGAATAATGTTCCAGACTATTCGCTTGGTTTTCTCACCACCGTCAACGTGGAATTGACCCAGTCTTTGTGATGTGCGACATGACCTCCACGCTCCAAAAGGTGAGCGTATCCTGCCCCACCGGTGACACACTTTACAAACACATGCAAAGGCAAGTCAATTGTTCACCTGAAAAGGGAACATATGGTTCAAGTCAAAAGAGGTAATTACATCTGAAATCATTTTAGTCACCGTGGCGTCATATTTGAAAATGCACTCCACATGTCTACCATAAAACATTTTGAAAGTTTTACAGATGCCTTGAGCGTTGTAACCTTAAGCTTGATTAAAAAACTTTTGAGCAAGAGTCGTAGAAAGAGCATGCTCGATTGAACCTCATGAGTTGTAAAATGTAGATTACTCGACATGAAGGGAATGTTTACTATTGAAATGTTGAAGTCTCTTGTTCTACTGTCCTGTGGAGAATTCTGAATCTTTATGCATAGATCTCCTTTATTTCTAGTTCCGGTGGATAAATTAGTGGAAGAGTGAGTGGGTGAGTTTGATTTTACTCCGCTTTTAGCATTATTCCAGCAATATAAAGGCGTGAAAGAACCACCACGACCACCTCTATAACTACGGCAATACCAGGATGGCGTAGAATATCAGCCCAGACAGCGGGGAACCGTTTACGCGCTGAGGGTATTCGCGTTTGACGACTAGTTTGAGGTGTCATTTTGACGAACCTGCATCGTGGGCTGCGACGTCAATGGTGTCAAGGCCACAGCGCATGAGGACAAGTTAGGTTTAGTGACGATTCACGTTTTATGCTTTGTCTTTCTGACGGCAGACGTCGTGTTTACATGCGTCGCGGGGATCGTTATGCACGAAACTGCATACATGAAGTGGACAGGTTTTTGATGGTAGCGTGTTGATATAGGCGTCCATCTCCTACACTGGTAGAACAGACTTGGTGTAAGTTCTGTGGAATTTTAACGAATGGGACACGGATGGGATTATTCGGCTACCTGTCCTTCCCATTACGCAATAAACGAAAGTCATTTTCGAACAAGGCAACGCCCTACCTCACACGGCAAGACTGACAATAACCTTTTTCAGGAATAACAAAATTCAGGTCCTGCCATATGTATTGGATCCACTGGATTAACGACTGCGAGCACGTCACGCAACAACCACAAAACCACCGACAGTTGGCACAGGCACTGCAGGAGGAGTGGGTGAACATTCCCCAGGTCATAATTCGGGATCTGATTATTTCCACGAGACGACGATGCCAGTCAGTTTGGGACTCAAATGGTAGCCATACAAGATATTGAAGAACAGATGACCTTCACCTTGTAAATCTACAGTTCCAAGTGTACCATAAGGAACGTGGGTCAATGCCAATGAACTGTGCCAATTTTGAACATTCGATTACCATCCGTTGATTATTCATATGATATATAAATTATATATGTAAAATCACTTTTGCGTTTGCAGAGTATATCTAGAAAAAAAAGGTTTGAAATTTAACTTTTTAAAATTTTCCATGTTTCCAGTCGTGATAAATTTGTACCAATCCCCCTATTTCGATGTGTCAATTTATGACCCCCCCCCCCCCCCCCCCCCACACACACACACACACACACACACACACTCTTAATCTCACCACCCCCATTACATATGACCTGTCCCTAAGTTAGACTGTATAAAGCGCCATAAGAAATAAAATGCACACACCTGCATTGAAGTGCTTGTAAATGTTTCGACGTTTTGAGCATTATGAATATGATTGCTAAGTGGAAAGAACTTGAGGTGAAACTTGTATTCATCTTTTAACTATATCATTCCTGGGATATGAAAACTGATGTATCACACACTGATAACATCACCAAGTTTAATCACAGGACATTGAATAACTTCATGTATCACTTGTAAGGAGAATTAAGTTAAAAATTACTCTCAGGTTATAAAGCTGCAGTCATTTGATATTTGCACTACTTAGAATAAACACATACAGGTAATACGCACACAAGATACAGATACATTCTTTGAATAAAAAAACCTACAAACAAAATAAAACAAATCGGTAGGCAAAATGGAAAGGTCGCAATGAAATACTTGTTTTAGTGGTATTCTAATTCGTGAGCTGGCAATCAGTTATTGCCTCCCTTTGACGTTCATGGCGGCTTTTGCGAAAGGTAAAGTTACACTTTTCATGTAATGCCGAACATGTGAAGCTTTAAAAACATTAGGTCAGTGAAATTGTTCCCCGCCATAATTTTGTAATAGGTATCCACTTATCTACCTTAGTTATGTGTATGTGCTCGTGTGTGTGAATCGAGAAAGTTTCGGTGCTGCACAGTTCACTTCGTGTCAGACAGTGAGACAGTGACAGTTGTCTCCAGTTTTAGTGTTTTATTTAAAAAAATCAGTTGAATTAATAATCAAAAGACACACATGCATTTATATTTGTGTTTGTATTCACACAAATCTACTGTTCATGCGGCCTAAGTCTCTGCAATAAGGTGTGCAGAGTTACGTCCCTTGATCCTGCCAGGATGTGGTTATTGTGGGTTTCCATCAACATAGCATCTCCTCGACTCGCGTTGGTTTGTCAGCCTTGTTCCCTGGGTATGCTGCGCTGGCGCTACACTGACCCATGCAATGACTGCACAATGGCTGCCTAGATGAACAAACATGGCGGCCATGACATGTATTTAATATAGAAAAACGGGAAAACGCCAGAGCAAGGTTAAAAAATTTTCTTAGCATTTTCATAAATGCTTGCAATGTATACGTCACAAGAATAATATCCATTGTTACTTTGAGTGAAGGAAAACATTAATTTAGCTGTTTTGAGACTCGAAAGTGGTTATCACATCGGTAAAATGTAAACAATGACACACACCCAATTTCAACAGTGATATGTGCATTAATTTTTGTGTCAGCTCACTTTTGTCCGAAATGGTACACACAATACCTGGAATTGAACGACCACATTAATGAAATACTGTTAGCATCTATATTTTAGCAAATTTGAAGACACAAATGTTGCCGATCATGCTCCGTTTTCTACCATTGTAATATGGTGGATTTAAAGAAATTATTGACCACCCAGTATAAAAAAAATAGATGTAATAATTTTCGAAAAATAATTGATTAATTCCAATCTAGTGTTTTTTGACTATGTGTGTGCTTGTAAAATTGTTGGGTCTAAATGGCATAATGATAAAGAATATGTTAATTTTTTATTTGGAATGAATTTGGTAAAACAGCATACACATCCATGTGTAGAGCGGGGGAGGCAGTACCCAGACAGCGGTAGTAGCCGGACACTCACCAAACATTTATTTATAGCTAATTAGGTAACCTGCTGATACCCAAACTTAACAGGCAAGCATAATCTGTTTTCCCCCCAGGCCATTTAAAAAATTGTCTGCTAGAGATAACTCTCTCAACAAACCGTCCACGATCACCTTTCAAACATGACTGCCACCCCCGTAGGTTTCATACATTATCGCTAAGCAATGCTGTTTTCAGTCTTAAATTAGTGTATCCCAAACGATTCATTTTAAATTAACTTTGGTGTAAGGTAGGACTTGAAGTAAATGTAACGACATTCCATGAAAAAAGATGACTCGAAAATTCAATAAATAGTACTGTTAAAGCGATGTGCAGCAGAAAAAAAGTGGTAAGGGAGTACTCGGACATGTTGTTTTTAAATTAATCAATTAAATATCTTCACATTTTAACATATAATACTTTATTTTTTCTGTACATAGTGATATATAAATTGATGTAACTTAATGCATAATTTATAAAATCAGATGGAATCTTTATTTGCGTATATATCATAAAGTAATTATATTTAGATATCTACATTCACCTACCTAGAATAAAGCAGATTTTCTTCAAAATGTCTTAATAATCTGTGTGTCATTATCTGTTATTGCTTTTTAATTTTACGGATTTTTAAAATATCTATAGAATCTTTTCTATTTATTTCGATCTACTAATATAATTTACAACATTTAGAAAGTGAGCCAACATGAACGTAAACCTTTGCTTGACCTTGAAATCTAAAAAAGGCAATTGAAGCAGTCACCACTCGCAGAAGTTCCATAGGGAAAGCACCTGTATCTTATGCTATTCCTCAAGCTAGACTCTGTGATAAAATAAAACTAAAAGTGCCAATGAAATATCAAACAGATGAAGAGGATCAACTCGCCCGATGGGTTATACAAATTTCAAAGATTGGGTATGGCCGTGCCAAAATAGACTCATCATAGTGTTGGTCATACATGTATGTCAGGTATATCAAGACACATATACACGTATCTATCATTTATAGATAACTGCAGTATCATAAATTTGCATCTTACATTGATATAAATTACCTAACATGATTATATTGTAGCATATGTGTGTTGTGTGCGAGATATATGTCATAGCGACTGAGTTACGACTACCATTGTCTGAAGTACATTTGACTCCAAAGGCTAATTACCCTGTAGCCATGACATGTATATGTCTCCATAACTTAATTGTCATTATTTATAAGACACTAATCCCCGTTGTTAATCCTCACCAACATTTCATTGTATTTTGACTGTCAGTAAGCCTGGACTACCATATCACTTCCCTTTAACTACTGCTTTTTATAGTATGGTATTTATTGCCTTAATTGATCATCCCCTGAACTGTGTCCACATGTCCAATGTCCAATGCAACGTCATTGTCTCTTTGTCTGTCCATTGTTGTTCATTACTATATATGTGCTACCATTACACAGTTACTTGGGTGTTAGTCAGGCTTGGTATTCCGAGTGCTGGTGTAGGGATGACCTCAAGCAGGATGTGCCGCTCGTAGGAAACGTTCTGAGGTGAGCTGGAGCTCCGCTCACCTCATGTATGCCTGAGCTGGAAGGTCCGCTCATCGCTGTGTTTGTGTTGTCAGAGCAGGTATTCCGCTCATTGTGCAGTTGTTGTTTATTGTTTACATGTTGTGCATAAAGCGTTCCGGGAAAGTGATGTTGATTTTGTTCTTTATTCCCCCAAGAGCTAATTCCCCGTCAACATGCATGTTGACATATAGCTGAAACACTACTCGCTATTGTAAATTTAAATACTTGTATATTTTCTTTCTATCGATAGGTATTTTTTCACATTTTTCATGTGATACCACTTACATTCATGGCCTTGATGGTTGGTCTTGAACCCGACAACAGGTTTGATGGGGATGCAATGTAAAATGATGATGCCAGAAGTAGTGGATACACAGAGATATGATGTAGATGCAGAGGTGCGACCACCATCACATAGACTAGTAGTCTGAGATATTGCTGGCGTCATGTCGGTTGTGTAACTAGACAGTTACTGAGGTTTTTAGATCAATATTTAGGACAACAACATTATCAGTATAACCCTATTTTACACCGAGAGGGTGACTCATGATGCCCAAACTAGAGGCAGTGGTCATAAGCAGGACTATATTGTTTTCACGTTTTGTCCGGGGCATATTGTTGAAAACGTATTGAACGCCATCAGAATGCGGGGTACTAATTCTACGTTATCAGTGTAGATTATGATTAACAGCTTACTGTGGGTGACATTTGATTATACATTTTTTAAATCGTTCATATTTATTGTTTACCGAATACGTTTAATCGATGGACCAGCTATGTTCAACTTAGCCGCTAGCGTCTAAAAAATAACCAGTCATGTATGATAAGACATGTTAATAATGAGGTGTATGTTTCTAATTCTAATTCCATTGCATTTTTAAAAAAAAAGCAACATATGAAGTGTCTGACTTCTGCCTCTCTGCTGATTGCTATTTCCGGCTTAGTTTACGAGAAAATACACACGGTAATCTTAATCTCTGCATATAAAACAATGCCTTGGAGAGCAGGAAATACATTTTAAATGGTAAATCATCATGTCTAGTGATGTTATATATCCAATTTCATACTGTTATTGTCCAGGTTTGTTATGTACCTGTTTATTAACCTGAATTCGCTGAAGGGATACGATGTGGTTTTTTGAAAGTGCATATTAATACTCGATAAATCCTTTTTAACACTATGAATCATGAACAATTTCTATTCTCATCTCCGAAACGTGCGACATAGACCGTGTTAGGTAGGCAGAGCATGTATACTGTCTTGTATACTCCCTACGACTTGACCTCGGTTAAACCGCTGATCATCTATTCTGTTCATCAATTATTCGGACCCCGAAGGTAGCGTTGTGGCAAGGGATCACTGTATCTTAAATGCCATACTTTTGAATCATTAAAGGTCATACTGTATTCGATATAGGGCGCTCTCAAAATTAGAAATAGTGGGCTCTTATTAGAATATTATTTTGGTGAAAAAAACAGAGTTAAAAGATAAATTTCGTGGTTTATGCTGACAGCCTGAAATGTTTCTATACGAGAGATATATTTTTCCAAAATTTAATTGCCCATAATTAAGGGTGCATATAACACGTATTATACGCGAATAAATAAGTCTTGTGTATATTGATCAATCGGAAGGGGTGCTAATTGGGATTGTTCACTAGCCAATATCTTAGCAAATATCGCCGTGGGCGCTTATTACGTCGAATACAGTATTTGTTATAGTCTGACTTATGTGTCAACAAAGTTTTCAGGATCGGGAGCGCATGAGCCTCTACCGTGACTTGAGTGTTCAAATAAAATATTTCAACAAAAGCTTGGCCAAGCGAAGCTCCTAAAGTGAGCATTAGACCTACTGCGCATTACAAATTCCAAGAAACGTAGTCAACTGTCCATCATTCAATTTCCAAGAAGCATGTGCCATATATGGAAGTGTTACTACGATCTATCAATGAAACAAGCCTGGTTCTCATACCTGACATCAAAGTGTATTAATCCCATTGGTTGACTGGTGTAACTGTGTGCAAATTAGACTGCCATACTGTGACACAAGAAAAAATATTAGCCCATGAAATATCGTAACATGATCACATGATTACATTCTCGTGAAACTTGACCTAGTTCATTTTGTATGCTCTTTTTGTCCACGGGCATGCTGGAAAACGTATATGGTATTACTTGCCCGACATCTACAAATGATCTAAACCTTACTTGGCACGGGCGTTGGGCAATGGTATTTTTCAACCCCTGCACTGGGATTTATATTTGACATTCGTTTTGTCATTTCTAAAATTTCTTACATCAGGTAAATTGCATATCTGTGATCTTACTTATTTCAGATTCCTGACATGGAATTGTCTCAATGTACACAAGCTGTTGCTCAGGGATTGTCTGAAATACGTGTTCCCTTGGGACATATCCTTGTCAGTGGACGTTGGAGAAACACGGACCTCGTCAGCACACTTCAAGGTCAGAATGAAGAGACTGTGTAGCTTAACTATGCTGTTGGGATTTTGGGTCTGAATATGTCCCAAATACTTCCTGCCTGTCAGAAGTTTTTTGTTTTGGTTTGTTTGTTATTTAATGCCGCAGTCAGCAATATTCCAGCTATATGATGGCGGTCTGTAAATAATGGAGTCTGGACCAGACAATCCAGTGATTGATATCATGAGCATCAATCCACGCAATTGGTATACGATGACATGCATCAACCAAGTCAGCAAGTCTGACCACCTGATCCCATTAGTTGCCTCTTATGACAAGCATAGTTTCCTTTATGGCGGGGGCACGGGTGGCCCAGTCGTCTAAGGCGCCGCGATTTGCTGTGCAGAGTTGCGTCCCTTTGGCACGCCAGAAACCTATGATTGTGGGTTCGAATCCTGGTTCGCCCCGATTATGTTTTTAGGTTTGGCAGCACCATACCCGTGCTCGTTGGTTTCACCGAAGTGGTAAACGTCTGGGACCTGCATCACTTCGGGCTTTCCTCCCACATTAAGCTGACACATATATAACTGGAATACTGTTAAAAGCGGCGTTAAACCAAACTCACTCACTCACTCACTCCTTTTATGGCTAGCATGGGTTGCTGAAGACCTATTCTACCCCATATCTTAATGGGTTGCCTGTCAGAAGTGCAGACAGAAATGGAGAGTGGCTGGTCCAGCCCTGTGGGTTGTGTGTCATTGTGCCCTGATGGCATGGTTCGTTCCCATGCTTACAGTTTAGGGTTTGCCTGGTCTCAACTGACCGTCTCGATATAGCTGGAATAGTGCTCACAGCTGCATTAAACTGCAGTCACCAAAAAAAATTTTGGGGTAGAATGTGATTTCAAAACATGGTTTTGTATCAGCAGTGCATCTGATGGGTTACTCTCTGTATGCTGTTATAATTATATAAGTCCAATACAGGTTTGTTCCTGTGAGATATTTCTCTCTTTCGTACAGTGTTGAATTTGTGAATCATTTGTCTTTGACACATGTTAAACATGTTTGTTTCAGGTAGTGCAGTTATTCACTTTGAAGATGGTGAGACTTGTTTGTTTCAGGTAGTGCAGTTATTCACTTTGATGATGGTGAGACTTGTTTTGTTTCAAGTAGTGCAATTATTCACTTTGAAGATTGTGAGACTCGTTTGTTTGAGATAGTGCAATTATTCACTTTGAAGATTGTGAGACTCGTTTGTTTCAGGTAGTGCAATCATTCACTTTGAAGATGTGAGACTTGTTTGTTTCAGGTAGTGAAATTATTCACTTTGAAGATGTGAGACTTGTTTGTTTCAGGTAGTGCAATTATTCTCTTTGAAGATGTGAGACTTGTTTGTTTCAGGTAGTGCAATTATTCACTTTGAAGATGTGAGACGTGTTTGTTTCAGGTAGTGCAATTATTCTCTTTGAAGATGTGAGACTTGTTTGTTTCAGGTAGTGCAATTATTCACTTTGAAGATGTGAGACTTGTTTGTTTCAGGTAGTGCAGTTATTCACTTTGAAGATGTGAGACTTGTTTGTTTCAGGTAGTGCAGTTATTCACTTTGAAGATGTGAGACTTGTTTGTTTCAGGTAGTGCAGTTATTCACTTTGAAGATGTGAGACTTGTTTGTTTCAGGTAGTGCAGTTATTCACTTTGATGATGGTCTTGGAGTTGTTGATTTCCACCCATCCACTCACACTGGAGTCATCTATGTTTCTGAGGCTGACATCGTCAGTGCCAGTGGGTACAAGAGGAAGGTGGCTAAACTGAGGAAGGTTTGTTTTAACATGTATCAACTACATCTCAAACATTATGATACAATAGACCCATGAAGATCCGGGGTAGAATAGGTCTCCATCAACCCATGCTTGCCGTAAAAGGCGACTATGCTTGTCATAAGAGGCGACTAATGGGATTGCTGACTTGGTTGACGCATGTCACCGTATCCCAACTGCGTGGATCAATGCTCATGATGTCAATCACTGGATTGTATGGTCCTGACTAGATTAACTAGTAGTGCAAAAAGGTATTGCTGTCATCATTGTAGAAGTTAAGTTGATGTTTTCAGTAGTTGTATTATTTTTGTACCGCTTGTATCATCAACATATGATATGTAACTAACTGTGGCAGTGAGGGGGTGTGAAAAGTGGGGGAAAGGAAGGTGGATGTAGAAGAACAAATCCCCCATGTTAACTTACAAGTAATGCACATATGCAAGTTTTAATCTTTTTTTTTTAATACAGTAGAACATGGATATAATGAACTACAAGGGACCAGAGAAATCGGTTTGCTATATCCGTTGTTTGTTAAATACGTTTTCGCTCGGAAATGTCCGTCATCTTTTATAAAACCATTTGTGACCAACTCGTATTATTCCAAGATAAGCCGAATAGCGACTCGTGACCCTCTCATGGCCATTTTATATGACTGGGTTCCGTCTAAGGGCAACAGGCATATCTAAAAGAATTGTCAACTCGTTGCATCATGATTCACGTATATTTCCCATATGTCATGTATATTCCAGATGCTATCGGGACTGAAGGTATTATACAGTATGATTGAACACTTTTAACTGTATGTTGGGTATATGTTCAGATGCAAGATATTTGTAAAATCAAACGTTATTCCTGAGGGATTCTTTGACGGAAGTACTTAAAGTCACACGCTCATTTTGATTGGTTTGTCGTCTTTTCGCACAGGTTACGGAAAGGGGAGAGTGGTGACAAATGGGATAAAACAAAACACAATACACCTAATTGCAGCATTGACTTGTATAAGCAGTGATCATCTTAGCATTCAATTGATAACATGATAACCCATGAAGATCCGGGGTAGAATAGGTCTCCATCAACCCATGCTTGCCGTAAAAGGCGACTATGCTTGTCTTAAGAGGCGACTAATGGGATTGCTGACTTGGTTGACGCATGTCACCGTATCCCAACTGCGTGGATCAATGCTCATGATGTCAATCACTGGATTGTATGGTCCTGACTAGATTAACTAGTAGTGCAAAAAGGTATTGCTGTCATCATTGTAGAAGTTAAGTTGATGTCTTCAGTAGTTGTATTATTTTTGTACCGCTTGTATCATCAACATATGATATGTAACTAACTGTGGCAGTGAGGGGGTGTGAAAAGTGGGGGAAAGGAAGGTGGGTGTAGAAGAACAAATCCCCCAAGTTAACTTACAAGTAATGCACATATGCAAGTTTTAATCTTTATTTTTTAATACAGTAGAACATGGATATAATGAACTACAAGGGACCAGAGAAATCGGTTTGCTATATCCGTTGTTCGTTAAATACGTTTTCGCTCGGAAATGTCCGCCATCTTTTATAAAACCATTTGTGACCAACTCGTGTTATTCCAAGATAAGGCGAATAGCGACTCGTGACCCTCTCATGGCCATTTTATATGACTGGGTTCCGTCTAAGGGCAACAGGCATATCTAAAAGAATTGTCAACTCGTTGCATCATGATTCACGTATATTTCCCATATGTCATGTATATTCCAGATGCTATCGGGACTGAAGGTATTATACAGTATGATTGAACACATTTAACTCTATGTTGGGTATATGTTCAGATGCAAGATATTTGTAAAATCAAACGTTATTCCTGAGGGATTCTTTGACGGAAGTACTTAAAGTCACACGCTCATTTTGATTGGTTTGTCGTCTTTTCGCACAGGTTATGGAAAGGGGTGAGTGGTGACAAATGGGCTAAAACAAAACACAATACACCTAATTGCAGCATTGACTTGTATAAGCAGTGATCATCTTAGCATTCAATTGATAACATTTCATAACATTTCTCAGTTCTCTATACACGTCACTAATGAGTGGTAGATGGGCTTGTCGGTGATCAGAGATCAGTTCGCTGTATCTGTTAGTTCGCTATAGAGAGTTCGTTATATCCGTCTTCCATCATTCCAGTGAAAGGACATGTTCAGAGTGACATATGCAATTGCAGATGTATTCATATTTGCAAAGGATTTCAAGGGCCAGTTTCGGTATAAATAATGTCATCCCTATGGCCTTCTCAGTATTAAAAAGTAAAGATTGATTGATTGATTGACAAATTGATTGATTGATTGACAAATTGATTGATTGATAAATTGATTGACAAATTGATTGATTGATTGATTGATTGATTGATTGATGGTTGACAAATTGTGACTTAAGAAAATGATAGCAAAAATTTGACTCCATATTATTTCACAAATATGTGTATTGTATGAATCTACTGTGGCCATCCAAATTCTGACTGACACACCACTTCAACCTCCCTACCCTCGACTTTTGCTGCAAACATTTCTACCATATACAGATATGCGAAGACGGAATCTGACGAAAATGTCAAACCAGCAACACTCAGGTCAATGTCTTGCTTCATTAGAACTTGTATACATTCGTTACTAATAACTTAACTTGGATTTGTTTTTCTGCAGCCACCTGCTTTGAGTTTTGTGCCAAGAGTGAGTGAGTGAGTGAGAGTGGTTTTACGCCGCTTTTAGCAATATTCCAGCAATATCACGGCGGGGGACACCAGAAATGGGCTTCACGCATTGTACCCATGTCGAATTCGAACCCGGGTCTTCGGCGTGACGAGCGAACGCCTTAACCACTGGGCTACCCGACCGCCCCTTTGTGCCAAGATGTTAGTTAGACAGCTAACAAAAATAATATACCCCTCACAGACAGTACTAAGAATGTTGTCTCTACAGGCCAACAGGGTACGTGGAGTGGTGATAGCCGAGAAAACAGCCACTAGTGGCCAGTATTATCAAGAGCTGCAGAAGTTCGTTATGCTGGAGATAGGCTTTGTGCTGCTTCCTGTAAAAAGTCAGAAGGAGGCCGCAGGACTTCTTGCCCAGATGGTAAGACGAAAGTTAACATTAGGTTTAACCACTGGACTGAAATGAGTGAGTGAGTGAGTGAGTGAGTATGGTTTTACGCAGCTTTTAGCAATATTCCAGCAATATCAAGGCGGGGGACACCAGAAATAAGCTTCACACATTGTACCCATGTCGGGAATCGAACCCGGGTCTTCGGCGTGACGAGCGAACGCTTTAACCACTAGGCTACCCGACCGCCCCTGACTGAAATGAGGGTTGAGTGAGTGAAATGATTTAGTTTGGATTTTTTAAGAAAGTACAGATGGTGGATCCATCAATTAAATGAAAAATAATTTCCAAGCACTCTGTGTGAGTGAGTGAGTGAGTGAGTGAGTGAGTGAGTGAGTGAGTGAGTGGGTGGGTGAGTGAGTGAGTGAGTGAGTGAGTGAGTGAGTGAGTGAGTGAGTGAGTGAGTGGAACTACTTTAATTTGGTTTTATCCTTATTGAACCTTTCACTACAAGGCACCTATTGTTCCACATCATACCAAAACATGTTAAGCTAAGCTACTTATTACCCTGCCTAGTCATTAATGGGATAAAAAATAGTCAGGTCAGCTCAGAGTCAGTATACTGTGTCTGAGTGGGGTATCCATGTTAAACTTAGTCATGATATCTGAGTGGGCTAGCATTACAGACAGCCATTAGTTCGGACTAGTACAAGCAGTCACACCCATGCACGTGCAGTAACCTGATGGTAGGCCCAATGTCAGCTCACCTAACCTACTTGTGCCGCTACCTTGAGATTGTTTTTTTGCCAGGTGGATGTGGAAAGTAAGTCTGAGACCAACCTATTCTTAAAGAAGCCCAGACCAGTGTGTGTGGACAAGGCTCTGCTCAACAGCCTTCAGTGCTTCCCTCGACTGGGAGAGGTCAAGGCCAGGCAGCTGCTGCTTCACTTCGGGAGTAAGTTGTGAATCTCATTCCTTGTTCGCTGACTGGGATCAAAGAGATTTATCTAATGGGAGTGCCTTGTTTGAAACCTTGTTTCTTTGAAGTTAGCAGGTTAGGTTAACTGCTTTCTATACATAATAAAATTAAGTTAGCAGAAAAAGTAGGTTTCGATTGACTTGAGCCAAATGAGCTTGATCTGCCAATTGACCTGAGCCTATTCCCCTTTAAACTCAAAATAGATGCTTAGGCATTGCTTTTACCTTTACACTTTCATCATGCTCTTGAATCATGCCAGTTGTCCTTGAATTGGCTTGTACTCTCTCGTGCTTACTGTCTATGACCGTAGAAAGGCCGGATTTTGAGGAGCTTTCTCCGAAGAACGCCTGTGAAGATCCGTGGTAGAATAGGTCTTCAGCAACCCGTAAAAGGTGCCTATGCTTGTCGTAAGAGGCGACTAACGGGATTGGGTGGTCAGGCTCGTTGACATGGTTGATGCAGGTCATCAATCCCAATTGCGAGGATCGATGCTCATGTTGTCAATCACTGGATTGTCTAGTCCAGACTCAATTACTTACAGACTGACCTAATATTGCTGGAATATTTCTGAGTGCGGCGTTAAACAACAAACAAACCATCAACCATGTCACCAGACCTGAACACCCAATCCATTCACCTGGCCCTTGTAAGGACAGGTTGCTGGTAACTCTTACCCAAAGTCCCCACGGGTCTACTGTTTACGACAACACAAAATGGAAAAGGGAGAAGTCTTGGGGACAAGCGTAGATGTGCTGCAAGGTCATATCTTAAATTAGCAGCATTTCAGAAGAATTGTGAGGGGCACGGGTGGCCCAGTCGTCTAAGGCGCCGCGATTCGCTGTGCAGAGTTGTGTCCCTTGGCACGCCAGAAACCTATGATTGTGGGTTCGAATCCCGGTTCGCCCCGATTATGTTTTTAGGTTTGTCAGCACCATACCCGTGCTCGTGGGTTTCACCAAAGTGGTAAACGTCTGAGACCTGCATCACTTCGGGCTTTCCTCCCACATTAAGCTGACACGCCATGATATAACTGGAATACTGTTAAAAGCGGCGTAAAACCCAACTCACTCACTCACTCACTCAGAAGAATTGTTTTATGTGTTTTTTTGTGTTTATATTTTTGTATGCATTAACTTTCCACAATAATTACTATTATGATTAGTCATGAAGTTGGTTGTTTCTGGTTGACTACAGCTAGTAAGTAATATCATTGCTTACTTGATATTAATCATATTGTTACATCAGTATCAGCCTGAAATAACTATGAAGCGTAATATCAATGATGAACTAAGACTTTGTTATAACATGCATGTCAAATACCCAATACTAGTGGTATGGGTTTAAGTGTATGGTTAGTGACTCCACATTGAAATTATTTCAGTTTTTCCTGCACAAAGGTAATAAAATATTTGGAAATTGACATACGATTTTGACAAAAATATTGTCCATTACAGTGTTTTTGAATTGTGAAGAACTGTGCAGCTATTACAATAACTGTTCTCTGTGTCATTGTGTTTTACTGATTTCATTCTACAGGTTTACGGGCTCTAGCAAAAGCCTCTTTAGAAGTGAGTATGTTTATTCATTCATCAAGACGGTGACCCTGACCTCTGTACTTTTAGAGGCAGTGACACTGACACCTGTACTTTTAAAAGCAGTTACACTGACATCTGTACTTTTAAAAGCAGTTACACTGACATCTGTACTTTTAAAGGCAGGGACACTGACATCTGTACTTTTAAAGGCAGGGACACTGACCTCTGTACTTTTAAAGGCAGTGACACTGACACCTGTACTTTTAACGTCAGTGACACTGACACCTGTACTTTTAAAGGCAGGGACACTGAAATCTGTACTTTTAAAGTCAGTGACACTGACACCTGTACTTTTAAAAGCAGTGACACTGACACCTGTACTTTTAAAGTCAGTGACACTGACACCTGTACTTTTAAAAGCAGTTACACTGACATCTGTACTTTTAAAGGCAGGGACACTGAAATCTGTGCTTTTAAATGCAGTGACACTGACACCTGTACTTTTAAAGTCAGTGACACTGACATCTGCACTTTTAAAGGCAGAGACACTGACATCTGTACTTTTAAAGGCAGTGACACTGACATCTGTAATTTTAAAGTCAGGGACACTGACACCTGTACTTTTAAAAGCAGTGACACTGACATCTGTACTTTTAAAGTCAGTGACACTGACCTCTGTACTTTTAAAGGCAGTGACACTGACACCTGTACTTTTAAAGTCAGTGACACTGATATCTGTACTTTTAAAGGCAGTGACACTGACATCTGTACTTTTAAAGTCAGTGACACAGACATCTGTACTTTTAAAAGCAGTGACACTGACCTCTGTACTTTTAAATGCAGTGACACTGACATCTGTACTTTTAAAGGCAGGGACACTGACATCTGTACTTTTAAAGGCAGTTACACTGACATCTGTACTTTTAAAAGCAGTTACACTGACATCTGTTCTTTTAAAGGCAGTGACACTGACATCTGTACTTTTAAAGGCAGTGACACTGACCTCTGTACTTTCAAAAGGAAGTGACACTGACATCTGTACTTTTAAAGGCAGTGACACTGACATCTGTACTTTTTAAGTCAGTGACACTGACATCTGTACTTTTAAAGGCAGTGACACTGACCTCTGTACTTTCAAAGGCAGTTACACTGACATCTGTACTTTTAAAGTCAGTGACACTGACATCGGTACTTTTAAAGTCAGTGACACTGACACCTGTACTTTTAACGGCAGTGACACTGACACCTGTACTTTTAAAAGCAGTTACACTGACATCTGTACTTTTAACGGCAGTGACACTGACCTCTGTACTTTTAAATGCAGTGACACTGACCTCTGTACTTTTAAAGGCAGGGACACTGACATCTGTACTTTTAAAGGCAGTGACACTGACCTCTGTACTTTCAAAAGGAAGTGACACTGACATCTGTACTTTTAAAAGCAGTTACACTGACATCTGTACTTTTTAAGTCAGTGACACTGACATCTGTACTTTTGAAGGCAGTGACACTGACCTCTGTACTTTTAAAGGCAGTGACACTGACCTCTGTACTTTTAAAGTCAGTGACACTGACATCGGTACTTTTAAAGTCAGTGACACTGACATCTGTACTTTGAAAGGCAGTGACACTGACATCTGTAATTTTAAAGGCAGTGACACTGACATCTGTACTTTTAAAGGCAGTGACACTGACATCTGTACTTTAAAGGCAGTGACACTGACATCGGTACTTTTAAAGTCAGTGACACTGACATCTGTACTTTTAAAAGCAGTTACTCTGACATCTGTACTTTTAAAGGCAATTACACTGACATCTGTACTTTAAAAGGCAGTGACACTGACATCTGTAATTTTAAAGGCAGTGACACTGACATCTGTACTTTTAAAGGCAGTAACACTGACATATGTACTTTTAAAGGCAGTGACACTGACATCTGTACTTTTAAAGGCAGTGACACTGACATCTGTACTTTTAAAGGCAGTGACACTGAGAGAGTGTACATTTATAGACAGTGACACTTCCATTTGCCAATTACTCATTCTGCCTGACGGTGTCTTTTTTTTGTCTTTCAACAGGATTTATCTTCCATAGTAGGAAAGGCAAGTGCTTCCAACATAAGAACATTTCTTGACGATTCCTGAACAGAAGAAGACTTAAAATACTTCGCTAGAAGTGACTGCACTTCATAATGTGCCGACTCTGGGGCTTGCTGACAGTTGTGATGTGTCTTCAGTATAATGTTCAAGATGATCTGTTGACAAACGATATGAAGATAGTTGGAGTGTCATGGATTGTCATGGTACATCTCGAGTCATGGATCTATGATGTCACATCTGATGCGTTCATGAGCGTCAGACCCATGAAGATCCGGGGTAGAATAGGTCTTCAGCAACACATGCTTGCCGTAAAAAGTGACTATGCTTGTCGTACGAGGCCACTAACGGGAGGCTCGCTGACTTGGTTGATTCATGTCATCGTATCCCAATTGCGTGGATCGATGCTCATGATGTCAATCACTGGATTTTTCTGGTCCAGACTCAATTATTTACAGACCGCCGTCATATAGCTGAAATATTGCTGAGTGCGGCGTTAAACAACAAACAAACAAAACCCCATTTCACCTCCTCTTCAGGAGTGAGTGAGTGAGTTTGGTTTAACGCCACTTTTAACAGTATTCCAGTTATATCACGGCGTGTCAGCTTAATGTGGGAGGAAAGTGATGCAGGTCTTAGACGTTTACCACTTCGGTGAAACCCACGAGCACGGGAATGGTGCTGACAAACCTAGAAACATAATCGGGGCAAACCGTGATTCGAACCCACAATCATAGGTTTCTGGCGTTCCCAAGGGACGCAACTCTGCACAGCGAATTGCGGCGCCACCCGTGCCCCCTCCTCATCAGGAAGCCAATGAAGTTACAAAATCTGAAATGCCAGAAGCTTATAAAGTGAAACGCAAAAGTGATTTTACATGTATTTTTCATAGATCATATTAATTAACAGATGATAATCGATTGTCCAAAGTTGGTACACATCATTGTCATTGACCCAGGTTTCATATGGTACAAATGAAACGGTAGATTTTCAAGGTGGAGATCAATGTCTTGTATGGCCACCATTAGAGTCCAAAACTGACTGGCATCGTCGTCCCATGGAAGCGATGAGATCCCAAATTGTGGCCTGGGGAATGTCCATCCACTCTGCCTGCAGTGCTTGTGCCAACTGTCGGAGGTTCTGTGGTTGCTGACGTGCTCGCAGTCGTTGATCCAGTGCATCCCATAAATGTGAGATTGGGTTTTGAATCTGGGGACCTGGAGGTCCATGTCAGAAAAAGGCTGTTGTCAGTCTTTCGCGTGTGCTCGGGCGTTGTCTTGTTCGAAATTAGGTTCACTAGTACCACAAAACCTGTCCACTTCCTGTATGCAGTGTCGGGCATAACGTTCCCCCTGTAACTATAAACACGACGTCTAACCATCCGTACGGCGAAGCATGAAACGGTTCCCCACTGTCTGGGCTGATATCCTACTATATCCTGGTATTGCCGTAGTTGTAGAAGTGTCCGTTGTGGTTCTTTCACGTAGCCGTATGAATCTCTCCTGTGCACTTAGGAGTGATACGTAGTCGATCGGATCTGGGAATGTCCCGTGCTTCCGATAACGGTTCAACAGTCTTGTAAATGTGCTTGGTGCTACTAATAAAAACCTTGCTACGGCTGAATATGATTCCGGCACGTTGTTGCGTTGGGCTTCCGCCAGTAGTGGCATGTTTTTGCTGTTCACTTGCTGTGAGATTGCGATGACATGCACATGAAAAGCCAACGTTTTTATTGCACAAGAATTGATGTTGCGTTTGGATGTCATGTTGGTGTTTTATGGCTCCAGTGTCTTTTGTGCGATTTTTCTATCTTTTCACCAAATGCCTTCGCTACCTCACTGTAGTTGTGTTTTTCTCAGTGTTGATACAAATCTTTTGACGCGGTACATAAATGTCAGTAATGCCAACAGTTGATGGCAAAACTGATATAACCTATATGTAACAGGAATTACCCGTATACTCTCGCTGTGCCGCGTTTATGTGCGAGTGAAGTTGTAAAAACGGCATACCTCCAAAAACGACGGTCTTCAGCAACCCATGCTTGCCGTAACAGGCGACTAACGGGATTGCTGACTTGGTTGATGCATGTCATCGTATCCCAATTGCGTGGATCGATGCTCATGATGACAATCAATGGATTGCCTAGTCCAGACTCGATTATTAACAGACCGCCGTCATATAGCTGGAATATAGCCAAGTGCGGCGTTAAACAATTACATTCTACTTATATATTTTTTGCACGAATCAGTTTAAAGGAAGACACCGTATCCATAATTCCCTTTGGATTTATCTTCTATTGCTTGTGAAAACGTACCACGTTCCTATATTAGAAAAGGAAGATGGAGGAAACATCAGGACCTCATGTGGTCATTCATGACATGCGGAGAAGTAGTATTCAGTATTTAAAGAACCATCCCTCTTCTTAGCAGACAGGGGCGGTCGGGTAGCCCGGGTTCTATTCCCGACCTGGGTACAATGTGTGAAGCCCATTTCTGGTGTCCCCCGCCGTGATATTGCTGGAATATTGCTAAAAGCGGCGTAAAATCATACTCACTCACTCACTCACTCACTCTTAGCAGACATTAACTTTATCCTATAAGCTTCAGGAACCAATTCGTAAGCCTTGAAAACTTTCAGCTTTAGCAATCCGATCAATAGGGAAGGCAGAATAAACTTCCTAAGCTTTGCCCCTAAACGCACTTAGCAACAACATGGTCCAGTGATGTTGCGGCCATTTAAAACTGTTAGCCACCTTTCCAAAATGTAAGAAAAACTTCTCAACATCACGTTCAGTGAAGGGAGAAACAAGTCTAATCTGCTTGGCTCGGTGAGTGAGATCATTCTGCAAATCAATTTGCTTCAGCTTAATTTCTTTATCAGATTCAATTCCTAATTGCTTAATCCGAAATTCCCTAAAATTTGTGATAAGTTAAATTTCAATCCCTCACGAGCCCTACGTAACAGAAAGTTACGTGTCAATTCCCAAATTGAAACAATATGTTTATCCAGAAATCTGTACGTAAAAGAACTTGTGAAACGAACAAACCAGCAACAAGTGGTGTACAATCAAACACATGTATTACAAAATCAATAGAAATTACTGTACAGTATATAGAGAGTATTGCAGAGTGTGGCGTGAAACAACAAACAAACAATATATGAACATGTATGATAACAATTATGATACGAGTCTAAAATGCACTTTCTTCCGAGCGCCAGAAAAGACCCTTTGCGTAAATACCTCGTCCTTAGTTTGTTGAGGGATGCCCACTGACATAACTGATCTTGTAACCCTTCTGCTTCTTTCGATTGTGAATGAGCATCAATGTCTGATGCTTGTATGAAGAAAAAAACACAATTACCACACGGCATTCATTGGATGATGTATCTATTTAGAAAACATTCACAGGTCATCAATAAACTGAGACGTGAGGTCCCCAAAATGAGGCTACCACCCCCTATGGTACGCAGGATTCAGGGGTCTATTTAGAGAGTAGTCGGTACCTCGCGATGTGGTTCGCGGACTCATATAAAATTGTATATCGTATGCAGATTCAACATTTATAAAAAAATAATGGTGTACGCAAAGGTTTCCTTTATATATTCAGTTTTTCATATATTTTTTCAGTGATTATCCTTGAAATCGGACCTTTTTCTAAATGTTTTTGAGAATTGTGTTGAGTTGTATTCTGTTTACAGGGTGAACAAATGAGACTCAGAGTGAAAAATTAGATGGTAGTCGAGATTCAGGGGAAACAAAATGGCGCTATCTTCACTGTGACGTCAGCAGCTACAGTACGGCCTCAAGCTGGGATTTCAATTTGCATACGCGCTGGTTGTGGGATCAGGGTAGCTGTTTGTTGCTTTTTAGATAACAATGAAATATGTACTTTACAAGACTATTTAACATGATTTGAAAAGATGTTTTGTTTTTCAATAGCTCTCCTTTACAACAGTAGTGGGGACAGCATGCATCCTTGCTTAAAACCACGGTTCACTTCATACTACGGTGTAAGATGACTGTTTTCTCTTATACAACATCCTTATATAATGATTGAAGTGTGATCCGTAAGTATGCCCAGTTTGGATCTTGATTGCACACATGTGAAGATGATTACACTCAAAGCCTTTGTAGACCCAGGTGATTCACACTGGATGATTGGCGCTTGACACAGTAGATGTGCTTATGGTTATCCCGATAGATTTAGCACCTTGTTCTTCCATAAAAAAATACATTTCTTATTTTGAATCACGAAGGATAAATCATTTGAGGAAATAAAATTTACAGTCAGTCAGTCAGTCAGTCATGGACCATGTGTCTTTAATAATATTTTAACTATCATAGATATCAAAACTTTAATTAGGAGACCGAGTCATCAATGTCCCCCACCTTGCTTGCAAACTTACAATGCTTACCATTGAAAATAAATATTGTTAAAGTATGCAAATACTTCATAAAAATATTTTCAAAAGGTCTGAGTTTTTAGACAAATATACCAGGAAGTTAACATGAATTGTTTTCTAGAGTCTCACAAATCCGAGTCCGTATAATTTGTCAATGTCACACTACGGCCTTGAATTTAAGTGGACCAGCACTATGAAAACGTGTGCATTAGGGAACGAGGTTATGGCGATTCAGTCGAAATAGTCTACACACGTGTGACATGTATACACTGTGTACTATAGCTCACCACCAGTGCCCACGCATACTAAACAGTTAATCAACCAATGAAATGCTGTGGGATTGTTGTTGTCTCCTTCATATAATCATCAGACATTGATGCTCATTCGCAATCAAGAAAAGCAGAAGGGTCACTAGATCAGTGATATCCTCCCAGTGGGGATCACTCAACACACTAAGGACGAGGTATGTACGAAAAGGTCTTTTTTTGTCTCGCGGAAGAGAGTGCATATTGGAATAATATCATAAAGGTTATCATACATGTTCATATGTTATTTGTTTGTTGTTTAACGCCGCACTCAACAATATTCCAGCTATATGACGGCGGGCTGTAAATAATCGAGTCTGGACCAGACAACCCAGTGATTAATATCATGAGTATCGATCCACGTAATTGGGATCGATGACATGCATCAACTAAGTCAGCGAGCCTGACCACCCGGCGGCGTTAAACAACCAACCAACCAACCAACCAACGAATGACAACATTACACACCATTTTAACCAGTTATGAAAGGCATTCGACGGGTTCATCTTCGGTGATGGTCTAAAGTTGTGATCCCAATAGGTAGAGGAATGCTCACGATATTTAGGTCCATAATTGTATAATTTACGAAGCATGTTATTGTCGGCAATATATAGAGGTCATCT